ATATGGATGTTATATGCTCAATATATATTTCCAGTGTCTAACAAATACCTTACCACCGACTCGCTGAAATCAAAAACTTAAGTTGAAGATAAGAAAAGCTATATTAGACAGCACATCTCTGCAGCCGAGAAGGGAATCTACGAAATCAGCAGGAGAGCTACCATGAGATGGACCATTTTTGGAAGACTGAAATGTTGTTATCCGAAAAACTGCTTTTGTGCTTGAAATGGAATGTTATCGATCAGTGTGTGTTCTTCTGCTGCTGTATCGGTGCGAAACGCGGACCCTAAATCTGAAAGCTGTTCATAATCTGCAGGCTATTCATAGCAGCATGTAAAGGATGTGTCGATCATAACAGCAAAACAATGAAAGAATAGCGGCTAATGGATAGGAGCTCAAACAAAAGTCTACAATTTGTTTGCAAGAGCAAAAAATTGAATTGGCAATCGACAGGATACATTACAAGAAAACCGATGATCGCTTCAGTAGATACACATTAAATTCGCTTCTAAGGGAGGAAACGCCTCGTCACATGACCTCCAGGTTGTCGGTAGGCAGAACAGAAGACATTCATTTGATTAGGAAGGTTAAGAAGAGCAGAAAACACAAATTATTCACAAAATCTTGGAGCACTTCATCAGGTAGCAAAAACATAAGGCTGATGTTGATATATATCACTACAATTAACGCTCATGGACTTTAAACTTATATTAGATTCTTAGAGGCATTGGAAACCTCCTTTGGAGAACAGACCAACGAAAGATGTCGTTCTGCACGCACACCTTTAATACTAGTGATAAATGTGTGTTCCTATTTCAATCGATAACTCATTCAGTTGTTCTCCATGTGTGCGAAATTTCACGAAGACCTGGCCAAGTAGCATGGTGCTTCTGACTGCCAGCTCCGGAAGTTAATTATATGATTAATGATATGTTGCAGACAGCTGGTTCAGAATTCAGGGTGTTGTTGGTCTCCCTCAGTCAAATAACTGAAGAGTACAGCGAAGGTGAATCTTGACAAGAAACAAAACAAATGCACACAAAGAGAAGAAATATCGGGTCAGTCATTTTCTAACTGCCTGCCCCGTAATGACTAATACGTACCATTGTATTGAAGCAGGGGTGGATCGATCGGCTCAGTAACCGTTAGAAATTTGGACGCCTCTTTAGCTGCCAACTTTGACCACGACCCGCTGATGAAATAATCGGCTGACGGTTGAGCTGTGCCTTTTGATAGGCTCATGAGATTCAGGGGTACAGCGGCGAACTGCCCGAATCCCCCGCCATGCATCAAAAGTACTTCATAGTTTGAAGGGACACACCTTAACAGCGTTCTCAAAACGTGTCCAGCAACTGACTTTATGACGTCAATAGATTTGAAGTACAACTGAGTACTTACAGCAACTCCCGAAACTCTTCTACTGCCTCATTCAGTAGCTGTTTAAACGATTGACTTCTATGGCTAATCTCTTAAAACGCTAAGTTATCATCGCAAGATTAGTTGGGTACAAATAAGCGCATACCAAGAAACGTCAGACCATTGTTTCCAGGAAATTTCACTTCTCGTTGGATTCTGTCGACAACCTAAACTGCGAGGTGAGAAACAGTGAAATAGCAGTTACAACAGGTTGAGTATCCTTATTCCGAAATCAGTAACATAGTGTTAATCGGGATATGAATCCCGAGTTTCTTGAAATATCTTCCGGGTAATATGAACAACGACCGCACCACCTCCTTTTGTTCCTTTTCCTTTCAGTCTTCCATCGGCAGTCGTATGTTCTGATTCCCGCCCATTTGTAAAACAGCCTTCCTACAGGATCAACAAGAGAACCCGCCGAACACCCTATTTTCATGATTGCATTTAATTACGGAGACAATCCACTAAAGTTCCTCATTTTCACCCCCTTCTTCATTCCCTTTCCTTCCAACCAAACAAGCTGCTTGAAAATATCTTTCTCTACCTGATGATGTTGTGCTTCGACGAAACTCGACTCGTTCCAGTTTATGGAACAACGCGGCTTTCTGAAACATTCCTTACTTCATTCTCACAGCAGACAGCTGTTTTTGGCCATAAATAATCTTTTTCTAAGGAAGCTATTTAATATGTTCAAGTAAAGAGTTTGGGCGAGAAAACATGTTAAATTGTTTTAATAGCTTATATCTCAAAATCTGTTGACCCGTTATGAATTTTTCATCGATTTTCATTTCTTTATGTGCACACTTTTACCGAATAGGAAAAAGTTTCCATGACGGTCCCGTTTCTTAATACGGCTGTGTCACGGGTATGCAGAAAACCGTCAAACATTGTCAGTGTTACATGTCTATGACTACAGTGCTAGTTATCGGAAAGTCTGAATTTTTATTAAATTTCTTCAATCCCATCATATCGTGTATTCCGATATTGGGAAAAACACAAAATCTCAAACAATCTTGGTCCCAATTACTTCGGATTAGGGATGTTCAACCTGTATTATGAAATACCATTTACTTCTTTTGGGAGCTGAGACGGACCTGGCAAAAAATGAGTCATGATGAGCTTGTACTTCTCAACTTCCTGCGCTTTTTCCTCGGTAACCTCTACAACAAAAGATAGTTCACATAATTACATAATTTAAAATCGTCTCGCATTGGATAAAGAACATTAAAACAAATGAACCATATGGTACATGCTTCACTGGCCGTATACATGAGGTGATGATTACGACTTAACTAACAATAAAACTGCATCTGTTTTCAGAGTTTTCCGGCGGTTTCTCGACCCCTGGAATTAAACAAACTTCAATAACTAATTTAATTATACCTGTGGGACAGTGTTTTGAGTCATCTACTATAGCAGCTTCAGCGTTTCGTCGGTTCAAGAGTATAAACGGTATGGATTCCATCACTGTGTGAAGCAAACAGACAGTACATACCGGAGTGATCGCCCACCTTAAATAATGCCGTCAAAAAATAGTGCATTCTTGGCAGGTAACATCATAACGGGCTTGACGTTGTAAGGAACAGGCTATCTTAGCACGAATTGGTTATCGTTATTATGACAGAGTCTTATTACTGTGAGTTTGAACATATATTGCAACGGTCAGAGACGGCTGGCTGTAACGAGGTAGAGACAAATGGAGCCCCCCCCTTCCTCCCGCGCACTGCACCAGGGACGTGAGGCGAACAAATGGGTAAGCTCCTGCCTGCAATAAAGGCCCGAAACGTGGGTTAACAAATGAAGAAGCACTCGTCCTCCTCGCGTCGTAAGACAAAGGCGCACGTTGCCAGCAGATGAACGCGGATTGGTCCACGACAATGAACAAAGAATTCACAGGCGTATAAAAGGGCCAGTAATCGTTGGAACGGGAAGATTATTATGTAGATATGGAAATTATAATATCTCGTGTAGGCAGTTGTTGCCATTTGTATTTATGTTGTGCTCGCAAGTAAATCCTTGTGACCAGATTCCGCGTCCTATTTTCTAGCAACCCCCAGCCGGCTGCATATTAATTGGTGACAAGTCTGGGATCGGCTTTTCGAACGAGGGAAATGGAAGCTA